TTCTGTGAGGACGGGGATCTGAATTCTGGTTCGCGGTGAGGCCGGGGGCGGAGAGGCGCGCGCCCTTAACAATAAAAGAGTAGAAGAAATTAATGTTACACGAAAGTGTCGCATGCAAAAACTTCAGTCAATCTCACACTTATCGTGGCTTTTCTTAAAAAAAAATAACAGATTAAAGCTACCTGACATCTCCCTTAGACTTTGCCGTGTAACACAAAATATTACGACACCACATTGATATCTCATACTATAATCCAAAGATTTTTCGAACTTCTATTTTTTTTCATCGTTAAATCATTCGTACACTGTAAATAGACCTTGAGACTGTACTGGAAAAAGTGAAACTTTTCATCTTCATCATTTCTGGCACGAAGATTTACCTATTGTTTCAGTAGCATTTTTATGTCTATTATCATCAAAACTTTAGTTACATTATGCTAACGGCGCAACACTTGTCTCTTGATTGACTTAACATGATGTTATAGCATTGGCAAAAAAGCAAGTAACCTAAATATGTAATATTAAGGACTCATCCATGAACTGAGGTTAATTAAAGTCATACAAACAAGTGAGAGGGGAAACAGCAAAGTGAATGAAGGAGACTACCAATCAAAACACACTTATAAATCGATCATCGCGATCAAATTTATATCTATCTCAATCTTGATTCACATGCAAATTATATTGGCATTATGCGTGTATTATATAACAAGCTTGTTTCTACTTTTAGCATTACCCACATACGTTTCTCACTATAACGAAATTGATATCAGCCAATATATTGAAAAAACTTTATGTAAACTTGTTATTAATTTGGTTTCGTGGTGTGTGTGTGTGGGTGTATGGATGTGGGTGTATGTGTAGGGTGTGGGGTGTGGGTGTGAGGTGTGGATGATGAAAAACCAATAGCCATATCCACATCCACATCCACATCCACACCCACATCCGCACCCCACACCCACACCCCACACCCTTTTCGGTTCTTTTTATTTTTTGGTAATAACAACAATTTAATCATGATGTCTCTCATAAGAGAGCAAACACGTCAGATAATACACGATCAGATACGAACAGACAAGATTTTGATAAGATCTGACAAGAATCATTCAGTTGGCTTTTATACGTTTCTTAATCTTTAAATCTTGCAAGATTTTTGCTGATATCTTACAGCCAGAGTCTGATGAAATCTTGAAGAAAACGAACACATACGATCTTATAGGATTCTGTGACAAGATCATATAAAAAATCTTGTAAGCGTAAGATCTTATCAGATCTTGCACGATTTTCGTCTGGTTTTTCGGCCTGGGAATGATCTGACAAAATATTGCTTTAGAGAATTGTCCAGGAACCACACATGTTTCAATATTGAACAAACACTTCACTTTCAGTACCAGATGAGTTATTCCAACTATTCGACAACATAAACTTATCGTTGATCATTAGAAACCTTTTCAACTACTGAAACTAAGTATTGGTTTCTACAAAATCTGTTACTGTTTTTTTTTTATTCAAACGGCAACATTGTTATAATAATGCATTCTTTTTTATATTTAACCTATAATTTAATTCTTGTTAATTCATTAAAAGCTTTTGTTTTGTATTTTTTATACAATATCATCTTCTCTTTTAAATGATTTCATAAAATACGTGTAATCGAAATAGATGACTAATAAAAGATTTCCCAGATTGGTTGTTTCCGAAAAACTAATGAAAAGAACGAAAGAAGAAAATCAATTGTTTTACTAGATATATTTCAAAATAGAGGAACGAAAAGGCTCTTGCAACTTATGTTTATTTATTCTTTAATGCAAACGCTTTTATTTTGAATGATAGTTTATTTGTTTTCATTTCGGTTTGATGGTTTTCTTAGATATGTAAAATATTTTTTTTAGATAAATAAAATACAATGAGTGTATCTCGTCGTACAACTCATTTAGCTGCTTTGACTGATTTATCGTATTCCAAAGATGGAAGGTTAATTTACGAATATCAGTTTTCTAAAATCTATAGTTTATTTTTTTTGTATTATTAGTTATTTGGTAGCATGTGGACAAGATGGATACATTCACATATTCGAATCAAACACAAACAACATTGAACATATATATTGCGCCCCCTAAATGTTACTGGGTTCTTGTTAATGTAAGTTTTCAAAAGATTTTCTTGTAGCTGTTCAAATTTAATCTTTCTAATTACTAGGATGATTGTTTGCTTATTGGTACAAATAAAAATGAACTACGGGTTCGTCCATTCCCATATGCTGATATTGGCGTAGTTCCACCAGAAATCTCCCACTTTACACAAAAGTATGAGCAGCCAAGCTGAAGTTTTCAGCAATAGAAGGTCTTACTATCCTAAGACTTATGATAAAAAAATCTGTAGCAAAATTCATCGGCATCATGTTTTTTTTTTCAAACCACAAAATATCATCTTTCGGTCTATAATGATCATTTTTGTCATTTTGCGATATGGAGTTTTTTCTATAACTAAAATCCATAATTAAAATTTTCTATACTAGTATATAGTACTAAGTTAGCAGTTTCAGTGTATCACTGTAATAGCTCATTCACATCACTGGCATAATAATTTGTCCTATGTAATATTATGGAAAAAATGAAAAACCAGTAAAAATGGCCTATTTTGTGATGTACTGTTCGACATCATAATATACTGATTAACCATTCATTTCAGTCATATTAAATACATATATCTAGTACCTATTTAACAATATAAGAAACATCGATCCAAGTGCTTTTATTGGTTAAAAACAAATGCGTCAGCCAGTTGCCATATAAACCCGTATAGTGAAAAAGTTACATATTCTGGTCAATATTTCTCACTTATGCAGAATTCTACAATGTTTAGAATTACTGTGTGATGAAGTACTACCATTGACCTATAAGCTAGTGTAGTTACTTCATTCCCCAACTTAAACCGTCTCAGAATAGAAGCATATGAAAAGTCGAAATTTTCAGATCTTTTTGATCATGCAAATTTTATCATTTCGAGTTTAGGAATCGCATAAGACACTAAGATTAACCTTCAAAATACTGGCAGAAAGGTTGAAACATTATAACTCATGGACCCCTGTCCTTCTTTACCTCATACTGTCTGAACGCTTAAAATTCGTGTATGTTGATGATTTGGTAGAAATAGTGACACTATACAATGGATTGTTCCATCTCTCATCTGGGACTATCACAAACTGTATTTCTTTCTTTAGATTGAACACTTCGCATGTAACGATGTGTTCAAATAGAGAAGTTAGATTATCTTACCATCACAAGCGCTTTTACCACGAGCTGTAACAGTAAAAAGCCATTCAGCTTCGAGATCAAAGTCTATTTTATGAAATGAGAGATTTATCAGATTGTATTTGTTTTTGAAGTGCATTGCTGCACCGTCTGATGCGTAAATAATTTTCTTTACCAATGGAAAACTACTTTTTACGAAATCTGTAATTTTTTGTTGGCTACAGTACACGAAAGCTGTATCATGTTTCAAATAATCGCTAATAACTGATAAGTTAATATGAGAATTCCCAACTTTTATGTGAACTGTAAAAATGACTGCTTGTTGGTGTTTCCAATGTGCTGACTGAATCTCACGTCAAGCAATTAACGTATAGTTTTCTGCAAAATCACCAGTAATAACTATATAATCATTTTCATTTGAGTTTTGCCTTATATTATCAATATATAGTTTTTGTTGATTTTTAATGTAATGATGATGTAAAATTACTGGTCATTGTTCATCGACATTATCTAATAATGCTGGAGCATTGCTATTTATTTCTTCTAAATGTACTTTGCCAGATATTCTCACCCAATTAAACCACGTAATTTCATCGTCTTCATCATTCACACTTGTTGAATTAGATTTTACAACAGTTGAACTAGGATATTGATTTACGCATCGATCATAATGCTTCGAATAGCAATCTTCTGTTGCCGATGCACATATAAGTAAACCAATTAATTTATCTATTCCACTGTTCATTTTTCCTTTTGTTCCAGGCGTAATTTAAAGGTGAAAATACAAACTAAAAAATAGAACAGTTTACCAATTTACCTCGAGCAATAAATAGAAATTCTCATGATAAATGCAAAGACAATTTTGAGCTAGGCTCTTGTCCTTTATCCATTTCGGTCGTAAGGCATGAAATTTTGAATGACCTATCCGAATAGATGGATAGGTTTCTTTGAAAAGCTGACAAGCTTCTCCAATAGACATTTGCACAAAGTGAAAGATTTTCTCCTCACCATTCACACGAATACAATCTTTTTTATTAGACGACTGCCAACTTACGTCATTGTCTTGATAGAAACTCAATACTTGATCAACAGTATCTTTTGAAATAGCTTTATTCCCGTAAAAGAATAATGGTCTGCTAAAATACCGTAGCTATCTCGAATTAAAATAGCCAGTTTAGACTGATGTTCTGTGCAATCAAAAAGTATTCGATTTTCTTTCTACCCCATTCTGCTGGGACCATAGTTAATAATTGTAATTGTTGATCTTTTTTGCTTAAAAAAAATAACTTTTTCAAGCCGCTTATTAATATATTTATGTCTTTCAATTTAATATCAGACGAGATGAAATCCAATATATTCATTGAGGTTGTTGATTTTGAACTTGAAATAATATCACATAAGTTATGAATAATAGCACTGGCATTATCTATTTTTTCACGGAATTTGTGAGTATGACGTCTAAAGTCGTTAAAAGAAACATTATTTATTTTGAAAATTTTAAAATGCATACGTATCAGTAATCCGTTCTATTTTTAGTAGATCAAAGACTGCATTCAATATATTAATTGGTTCCATTTCAGAATAAGAATATTCTATGGTTGACTTTGATGGTGAAGAACAGAATGCTAGCCCGTCTTCCTCATATGATGGTTCTTCTTCCGAATTCATTGAATATGAAAAATTATTATCATTAACTTCATCAATAATTTCATCAAAATCAACTTGCGATTCGATTAATGTACCATATTTTTTATTCATGTTAATATTTTCAACATTAAAACAACCAGTACATAAATAATCACCCTCTTTAATAATTGTTTTTGTTCTACCAATTGTTCGACAATATTGATTTTGCATAAAACTAGCTAATTTCTTTCTCACAACCCGTTTGCCTTTAGGATGAGTCGGCCTCCATCCTACTTTCGTACAGCTTTTGTGATGGATAGGATCTGCACACCATTTCATTAACCTTGGACTCATTTTCAACAAAATGAACACATACAACGATCAATATAAAAGTAGTTAGAAAAAAGCAACATTCAACATTTTTATATATACCAGCATGTGGGACAGCCAATTTAAACTGTTTTGATTTCAAAAAAATTTGCATGATCAAAAAGATCTGAAAATTTCGACTTTTCATATGCTTCTATTCTGAGACGGTTTAAGTTGGGGAATGAAGTAACTACACTAGCTTATAGGTCAATGG